GGGTGATTATATACCTCCAAAACAAAGCTTTATCTGTCCCCAAAAAATGTTACCATAAATTGCAAGGCCGATAGTCCGGTCTGGTGACATTTTTGACTGACTGATGAGACACCCTAACATTTTTTCAAGCCCTGGACCTTTTATTAGGATCATTAAAGGAGAACTCTGAGGTCAGGGCTTTTCCCCCCACAGTCCTCCTCGGGGACACAAACTAGCGTCCTCCCGTCACCCTAGGCTCAGTATATAGGGAGCTACAGCTCGCGGTATACTGAGACGCCGCAGCTGAAGCGGATCCCGACAATTATGTCTGGATCCGCCCAGCTTCGTGAGTGAAAGCTGGCTCTGCCTATCTAGAGGCAGAGCCAGCTGTACCCGCCCCCTTCCCCGTCCGTTCCGCCAGTCAGCGCTGGAGGATCGGAGCGGGGAGGGGGGAATCCAGCCCCTCCCCCTGTCATGGCAGAGAGCCGTGACAGGATCGAGAGGTGAGCGAGCGCCGGTATGTGTTCCCTCACCTCCAGATCTACTGAGCCGACCTGCGACAGTCTCATTGTCACAGGTCGGCTAGAACTATGAGGAGGAGTGATAAGCCCCTCCCCCTCATAGTTCTCCTTTAAAGGGGTGACCTGATAATTAGTTAATCACCAACTTTCTCGGCCGTCCGTTTTCTTCTCCGCAGGGTAACGCAGTGTAAATACAAGAGGATTGGCTGTCCCTGGCAGGGTCCCTTCCATGAGCTGACGGTGCACGAGTCCGAGTGCTGCCACCCCTCCAAGACCGGCAACGAGCTGATGGAGATCCTGGACGAGATGGACCAAAGCCACAAGAAGGAGATGCAATTGTACAACAGCATCTTCGGCCTGCTGAGCTTCGAGAAGATCGGTTACACAGGTAAGGGCCAGACCCGGTCTCTTATTGGCCCGTTACGAGCCGCTAGTGTCTGCGGGGGAGGGGGGCCGTTGGCGGAGAGATGATACACAGCTGTGCGTGTTTTGTGCGTGTCACTCTTTTGCTTTTTAGGTGTCGATAAGGATGTAGTTGTCATTCTGCAGCTGAGAGATCTGAAGAGCAGGGGGTTTACCATGTGGGTTGTCCACCCCCCCCCCACCCCCCTCATCCAATCATGTGTCGCTATAGGGTAAGTGTCACCAAGGACATGAAGAGGGGCAGCTGTCGCTGAGAATTAGCTGCCGATCTTTATGAACTGACCGGTCTCCTTGATGGCACGTAACTCCATGCGCGCTCCCTGGTCATCCTAGCGGGAGGCGCGCCGCGTGTCGGTCTATGTCTTTCTTTTGACGTTGATAAAATTTTTTTGTGTTGTCACCGTGTTATTATTTTTTTTTCTCTTTTGTAAATAACGTTTTTAATGTTGCCTTCTCCTCCATCAGGGTGGACTTTTGTTATTTTAATAGTCGTATAAAAGGAGGTGAGAGTTTTGTATGTAGCGGAAGCGCATTGATCTCTTCCTGTTTAAAATAAACGTTTCTTCAGCCATGTTGTAAAAGATTCCTCATGATTTGAGATGTTTCTTGTATTGGGCAATGTGTTCTCTCGATCTGGGGGAGCGTTCGGGTCATTGTATAAATCGTGAACCTTTTTTTGCTTCTTTGGAATAAACTTTATTCTGTGAAATGGAAATTCTTCTCTGTGTGTTCTTAAAAAAATATTGCAATCCGCGAGAGTAAGTTCTTGTTCCTGCTCCTGATCTTGTTCCTGCTCCTGATCTTGTTCCTGCTCCTGATCATGTTCCTGCTCCTTACCTTGTTCCTGCTCCTGATCTTGTTCCTGCTCCTGATCTTGTTCCTGCTCCTGATCTTGTTCCTGCTCCTGATCTTGTTCCTGCTCCTGATCTTGTTCCTGCTCCTGATCTTGTTCCTGCTCCTGATCTTGTTCCTGCTCCTGATCTTGTTCCTGCTCCTGATCTTGTTCCTGCTCCTGATCTTGTTCCTGCTCCTGATCTTGTTCCTGCTCCTGATCATGTTCCTGCTCTTGATCTTGTTCCTGCTCCTGATCATGTTCCTGCTCCTGATCATGTTCCTGCTCCTGATCATGTTCCTGCTCCTGATCATGTTCCTGCTCCTGATATGTTCCTGCTCCTGATCTTGTTCCTGCTCCTGATCTTGTTTCCTGCTCCTGAAGTGTAGATTTTCTGTAATAAAAGTGAAGTTTTGGTACGTTGCTCCTCTGCTGCTCGTAGCCGTAGCGTTAGGCTTGTAGAAAATGATCAGTCGCGCTCCATTCTGTGTATTCCAGCAAAGACAATAACTCGCGGAACTTTGAAGAACCTTCCGGCAGACATGATTCCGAGTATCGATGTCGTAGAGTCTGACAAAGCACATAGAATAAGTTTTTAGTCCTTAATGGTCACGTAAGCCTTGTCTGTATGGGACCAGATCCGTCTTCTGTTTGACACGCAATTCACTGCTTGTGTTGGGCAAACCTTTATCTCCCTTTCCCCTTTTTAAGAGATTTAAAAGATATAAAAGATCCCTTTTATGAGGCAAACCAGTGCAGAAGCGGCCACTGACCAGTCAACGGTAACAGGTAATGTGGTGTAGTTGGGGTAATGTGAAGCGACATCTTCACCCAATAATCTTTCTTTCTTTCTTTTTTCTCCCCCTTCCTCCCCTTCTTGCAGAAGTCCAGTTTCGACCCTACAGAACAGATGACTTCATTACCCGCCTGTACTACGAGACCCCGCGCTTCACGGTTCTCAACCAGACCTGGGTTCTGAAGGCCCGCGTCAACGACTCCGAACGTAACCCCAACTTGTCTTGCAAGCGCACCCTCTCCTTCCAGCTCATCCTAAAGAGCAAGGTCAATTCTCCCGTGGAATGCTCCTTCCTGCTGCTTAAAGGCCCCTATGATGATGTCAAAATCCACCCAGTCATCTACCACTTTGTCTTCACCAACGAGAATAACGAGACTGAGTATATACCGCTGCCCATCATAGACTCCGTGGAATGTAACAAACTTCTGGCTGCAAAGAACATCAATCTGCGACTCTTTATATTCCAGATTCAAAAGTGAAGAGTGGCCACCTGCAGAACCATACTTACCTCATCTAGCTCCCTGACCCCAGCCCCAACTCTTCCTCCTCCAGTAGACATGGCGGCCTTTCCCTTGGTAGAGGAGGGTGGAGAGCCCAACTCTTCCTGCTCCAGTAGACATGGCTGCCTTTCCCTTGGCAGAGGAGGATGGAGAGGCCAACTCTTCCTCCTCCGGTAGACATGGCTGCCTTTCCCTTTGCAGAGGAGGGGGGAGAGCCCAACTCTTCCTCCTCCAGTAGACATGGCTGCCTTTCCCTTTGCAGAGGAGGGTGGAGAGCCCAACTCTTCCTCCTCCAGTAGACATGGCTGCCTTTCCTTTGGTAGAGGACGGTGGAGAGCTCAACTCTTCCTCCTCCGGTAGACATGGCTGCCTTTCCTTTTGGTAGAGGAGGGTGGAGAGCCCAACTCTTCCTCCTCCAGTAGACATGGCTGCCTTTCCCTTTGCAGAGGAGGGTGGAGAGCCCAACTCTTCCTCCTCCAGTAGACATGGCTGCCTCTCCCTTGGCAGAGGAGGGTGGAAAACCCAACTCTTCCTTCTCTGGTAGACATGGCTGCCTTTCCCTGGGCAGAGTAGGGTGGAAACCCCAACTCTTCCTCCAGTAGACATGGCTGCCTTTCCCTTGGCAGAGGAGGATGGATAGCCCAACTCTTCCTTCTCCAGTAGGCATGGCTGCCTTTCCCTTGGCAGAGGAGGGTGGAAAACCCAACTCTTCCTTCTCCGGTAGACATGGCTGCCTTTCCCTTGGCAGAGTAGGATGGAAAACCCAACTCTTTCTCCTCCGGTAGACATGGCTGCCGTTCCCTTGGCAGAGGAGGGTGGAGAGGCCAACTCTTCCTCCTCCAGTAGACATGGCTGCCTTTCCCTTGGCAGAGGAGGATGGAGAGCCCAACTCTTCCTCCTCCAGTAGACATGGCTGCCTTTCCCTTGGCAGAGTAGGATGGAGAGCCCAACTCTTCCTCCTCCAGTAGACATGGCTGCCGTTCCCCTTGGCAGAGGAGGATGGAGAGCCCAACTCTTCCTGCTCCAGTAGACATGGCTGCCTCTCCCTTGGCAGAGTAGGATGGAGAGCCCAACTCTTTCTCCAGTAGACATGGCTGCCTTTCCCTTGGCAGAGTAGGATGGAGAGCCCAACTCTTCCTCCTCCGGTAGACATGGCTGCCTCTCCCTTGGCAGAGTAGGATGGAAAACCCAACTCTTTCTCCTCCGGTAGACATGGCTGCCGTTCCCTTGGCAGAGTAGGATGGAAAACCCAACTCTTCCTCCTCCGGTAGACATGGCTGCCTTTCCCTTGGCAGAGGAGGGTGGAGAGCCCAACTCTTCCTCCTCCAGTAGACATGGCTGCCGTTCCCTTTGGCAGAGGAGGGGGGAGAGCCCAACTCTTCCTCCTCCAGTAGACATGGCTGCCTCTCCCTTGGCAGAGGAGGGTGGAGAGCCCAACTCTTCCTGCTCCAGTAGACATGGCTGCCTCTCCAGAGTAGGATGGAAACCCCAACTCTTCCTCCAGTAGACATGGCTGCCTTTCCCTGGGCAGAGGAGGGTGGAGAGCCCAACTCTTCCTCCTCCAGTAGACATGGCTGCCTCTCCCTTGGCAGAGTAGGATGGAGAGCCCAACTCTTCCTGCTCCAGTAGACATGGCTGCCTCTCCCTTGGCAGAGGAGGGTGGAGAGCCCAACTCTTCCTGCTCCAGTAGACATGGCTGCCTCTCCAGAGTAGGATGGAAACCCCAACTCTTCCTCCAGTAGACATGGCTGCCTTTCCCTTGGCAGAGGAGGGTGGAGAGCCCAACTCTTCCTCCTCCGGTAGACATGGCTGCGTTCCCCTTGGCAGAGGAGGGTGGAGAGCCCAACTCTTCCTCCTCCAGTAGACATGGCTGCCGTTCCCCTTGGCAGAGGAGGGTGGAGAGCCCAACTCTTCCTCCTCCAGTAGACATGGCTGCCGTTTCCCTTGGCAGAGGAGGGTGGAGAGCCCAACTCTTCATCCTCCGGTAGACATGGCTGCCGTTCCCCTTGGCAGAGGAGGGTGGAGAGCCCAACTCTTCCTCCTCCGGTAGACATGGCTGCCGTTTCCCTTGGCAGAGGAGGGGGAAGAGTTGTGCACGATTCTAGCTGTTTGTTTTAATTAGTTTGCTTTTAGTTTTGTAGTTTGCATGTATACACTAGAGAGGAACTCCACTTTCAGCCTTGGGTATACACCATGGACACATGGACATTTACTACTAGGCCTCATTTCAGCCTGTCGTCCTGTTTTCTGGGTGTCCAACCCGTTTTTGATTTTTTTGTTTCTCTTCACTGTCCTCCTCCTTCGGGATTTTATCCGATTTTTTTGTTAATTTTTAAGATTATTTTTATGTAGTTGGGAGTAGCCTACTTAGGAACTGAAGATACCTTTGCAGGACCCTAACCCTTTGTCTCTCTATAATGTAGCTAAAAATATTTTACTTGATCTTTATGATAACCTACCCCCCGCCCCCCTCCCCCATTTACTGTTACGGTTTCAGTTCATGTGTGATCGTAGTGGAGCTCGATAGTCTCTTGTCGGAGATCATTCCACGACTGCCGGGGCCTCCTCTGTGCGGAATGCTCATACGGGAATGGAAGGATCCTCCTAAGCATCAATCCTTCATGTGTAGACGGCTCTGGGTACTGGTGGCATCTCAGGCCTGAGTGTCAGACCCCCTCCCCCCGTGTAGCATACCGCTAATCCCAGCACGCTGGAAAAGATATTTCAAAGCAGCAAAGCCACGGAAAGCGGGCAGAACACCGGCCGACCCTCGCTTTTTGTTGCCGGCGGTAAGGGGTGTGCAGCCAGAGGTCCATCGCAGGGCCGATGCGCAGCATTGAGTGTGAGTGGAGGTTCCTGATGGTAAATCCTGCGCCATTTGCCCCTCGTCAATCGTACCAGGGACGTGCGGTCAGGGGGGCGGAGCCTCATCTAGTATGGAGAAAAAGCTGTCAGCTTCAAGCCTGAAGCTGACAGCTTTTTCTCCATTCAGATCGGCTTCTATCAGGTGACAGAGCAGGGAAATCCCCCCCCCCACCCACCACGCACCT